CTCTGAAAGGTCAGTGCAAACCAGAGGAATGACTACAGCAAGCAAAAACTGCTTCAGCGTTCTTATAGGTTGCTGAAAGACAGATTTGAGAAACTGTGAACTGGTTCTTTAAGGACATCTTCCTGATATTGTGTCACAGCCCATTTTGTATAATCCTTGTCCCATGTGTCTCAAAGCTTTAAAAAAAAAATCACCTCTAATCTATTATACATCTAGTCTGTCTTAAGAATTCATGGGATAATGGCTTTTACCTCGATTCACCTCATCATCGTGATTTAAATTTGCAGCAATAGCATGAATTGGAAGTCGGATAAACTGCTGTGATTCTCTTCAGGCTGCAGAGGTACTCACGCGGGTCCTGAAGTAACTGGCTGGCGATGGAGACCCTCCTCCTCTCACCCCCAGAGATCCCCGGGAAAATACGACCCCCAATAACACTGTGAGCCACGTGAGTCAGACTCAGCTCGGCCATCACCGCCGACACCTAAACGGGAGCCGGAGGTCGAAGGTTAGATGACAAGCGAACCAAATTAACTGACAAGAGCCTACAGTAGATAATGAATTTTCTGGCTCTAGGTAGTGAACTTGATTAGTGGAAAGACCATTTTCTGCTTGTTACTGCTCTCTGACATTAAGTGATGGACAGGACCAGGAGGTTTACCTTTGCTTTAAATCAACACTAAAGGAAATAGATTAAAATATACAATCAGATTTATAAGTTTAAGATATAAACAGAGGCTGAAAATAGCTATTTTGGCTACTTTCTTGAAAGCCACATTGACAGTTTTGAGCATCTTTGACAAAATGTGCAGGCTGAGATCATAAGTAAGGAGATTTTTAGTTGTTTTTTGGGGGTTTTTTTGTCACTGGAATTTATTCAGAATATAAACAGATATGAAATACACACTAGGTAGACATGTCAACAAGATAAAAAGAGAAGGAGAGGAGGACCTTAATGTCCTGACATTCTAGTAGGTACAAGTTCTGTTTTGTTCGTTTTTCCCTTAATTTTTTTTGTATGGAGAAATGTCAAGTTTAAACTAAAGAACCAGAAAGACCAAAAGAAACTGTCAAAAGTCACCTTTTTCTTGATCGCTTCGGCCGAGTGTTTCCGCAGGGCCAGCTGGGCTGTGTAGGTCAGAGTCTCCTCCACTGTCAGATAACTCAGCAAGTTATCGCTCTGGAAAAGGACAAGAGAAGAAACAAGAGCTGCAGTGAGGCAGTCACATATGTACTGTTTTTACTTTTTGGTGGTAAACAGGATTTCGTGCAGGTCTTGTAGAATAATTTTACACTCTGTTTACTTATAACAGAGTTCAGGGCTCTGGATTTAAACTGAGGATTGGTAAAACACATCTCTACCAGCAAAATAGCTTGAATTATTTCTGCCAATAAGCATATATAAGCTTTTCTCTTGTTCATTCATCAGCAATTTAACTACAGTATATCCTGGGACTTTTTTTGTTCACAGGTGATTGAAAGTATTTTTCTACATCTGAGGAGCTTCAGTAAAAGAACAACTGAATCTCTTTCTTATTACAATATATTTTTCTATTATATTTTTCACAATTTTGCTACTTTATTGAAGTAAACCAAGTCTTTTCTTTTGCCTGTGAATTCATGTCTAATTCTTTGAGTAATTATTTTTGGATTGATTGTAATTTATCAGACGATGAGCGAGTGTGAAAAAAGGAAGTGGTGGCACAGTGTTTGACCTCGAGTCAGATCTCACATCAACAATATGTTTTTGTGAGTGAGAATAAATGTGCTGAATGAAGGCAACAGAATCAATGACTCAGGAAGCTGAGTCCTGTTAAGATAGCACAGTGGAAGGGAAATTAAAAGAACAAGCCATGACCGACTTCCTCAGTTCAGAACTGAGTAAAATATCTTTAATAACCTAAAAAAGAAGTCCAGCTGCTTTTTAACTGAAGCTCTTATGACAACCACGACCTGGATGACTGAGAATCTACACAGACGTACTTTTATACTCCGCCTTTGCAGCTGCAGACTGAGTGCACATCTGTGTTGAACACATACAGCAGCAGACTTGTATGTTCATATATTCGCATGCAAACCATCTGTGATATACCTTTAGCCAAGACATGAACACACACACAGACAGACACACACACACACACACACACACATTGCTTGAACCAGCTGAACCTGCTGCCTGCCTCAATTAACACGTGGCGCCTCCCAATCCCACTTCTCCTTATTCTCTCATCTGAATGACTTTAATATCAGGAGCTCATATCACCTCCTCATCTACAGCTTAGCAGGGGAAGTTAATGACGAGGCTTAGAGAGCAGGAAGGGGGTGCTATCAGCGAGAAGAGAGAGATGATTTGAAAGGAAACAAGGCCGGTTTTAAACCAGTGTTTTTAATTCAGGCTTTGGATACACTTGAGCACCTCTCATTGAGAGATTAAGTGTATGAGGAGGCTATCAGGGGTCTTAAGTTAATTTCATACGGAGGCCAGGGCAGCCTTTCTAGAGTTTTTACGAAATGGTGTGTTCATTGAGTTTGTGATTTAGTGTTTGTGGCGGTTAGTATGAGTACAGGCATCTTAAATATGTACAAAGTGTGTGTGGCCACTCATACGAGAAGGGCAGAGTTTCGCCTGTGGTCAGTTTGTGATGGGAACTTCAGCAAAGAGACGTGTTTGTTAAATTAGTTGCTAACTACTTTTGAAACTGCTCTTCAGTCTCTTTATTCATTTGTCTGTCACAGCTGCTGTAATCATTGTTGTGGATGGTTAGGAAGCCGGAGAGCAGTTCAGCAGTTATATGCTGCCCATTGATGTCTCACAAACAACTAATTCCAGTGACCAAGAAAAGAAGTTTCTTTGTTTGGTTGAGGTGTGCTGAAGGCCCAGTTTGAAACATATAGAAAAACCTATGATCCCCAAACGATGATAATTTCTGTGTTTCTACTGGTTTTGTTTCTGTGTAGGGCTGAACGATGAATCAATCTCAGTTTGAAACAAGGCAATTAGCAGTCTGAAAGGCTGCAATTTAGAATATACGAGGTGGGGCTGTTAAATAATGACACTAAATTCAATTGCATTTAATTAAAGCAAATGTAAACATTCGAGCATTGTTTCTGCTGCCCATTGATCAATGTATAATAATGGGTTCAGGCATGCACGCTGAGGTTCGACTGATATAAGCCCAGTCTCATTATTTAATAGTCGCACCTCGTACTTTTTGTAGTTCATTTGAGGCAGAGAGTAAACTGTTGTGTCAGTGGTTTTACTAATTCATGCCGCTGTCCTTATGTGACAGTCACTCTTTTGATGACATCTCATGTAGTAATGCTCCATCACGTATTTTAAATCTATGACAGAGCCAAGACTAAACTAAGGTTTCACTTCAAAGCGCTATATTGCAAAACAAATTGCAATTTCTATCAGAAAAATTGCACATTTCTGTGTGTTACCTGCAGTACGTAGGAGAAGCAGTCCTGGTACTCTTCTCTCTTTAGTTTCCTGCCATTAACATAAACATCACCCAGCAGTGTGCCGCTGTTTCCAATCCTGCCTGAGATGGCGTCCAACAATGTGGTCTTCCCAGAGCCTTTACAACACAAAGTGCATATATTTTTATATTAGCCAGCTTCCCTCTTTACTGCAGGGGGAGTTTCTTTTCATGGTTTTATTTTTTAGGGAGAGTGTGGCTTCGTCATTTTGTTCACACTAGAACACATGATCAGTTTTTGTGTTCTAGACTTCATAGCTTCTAAATCTAAATCAGACAGAAACATGTCAGAGCCATTTAAAAATCTCCTGCCCTTTGCCAGCTTTTCAATGCACCCTCATAAAAATGTAATTATTTTTTTGTTCTTTGCTCTTTGGACTGAGCCGAGCACACCTGAATTGCCCAGGATGCCCATGATCTGCCCACTGTCTACGTGGAAGGAGACATCGTTGAGGATCTGACGAGTCCATCGCTTCCTGTAGGAGGGTAGATCCCACCATGGACCGACACGCTCACTGAAACACACAGACAAGAGCAATGGTTTTAACATTCCCAGAACGGAACCGACCCTAACTGTGAAACCAATCATCACTACAGTACATATTAACAGTTAATTTTCTGTACATGCTGTAGATAAAGAGGTAAATGCAGCACACATGCATAGATACTTTTCTGCAATTTGTCTAGAAGTGACAGTTGAACCACAGAAAGTTATTAAATCTGACATCGTGTGTTCAATCTGATCTAGTTGCTGTCTTGAACACTGTCTACAGCGTTTACCTGACTGTGTAGGAGATCTTACTGACGCTGAGACAACAGGACGGCTCTGATCGCTCCTCTACGCTGTCCTTGTATACATCTCTCTTCTCGTCCGACACAAACTTGTAGGACTCCTTAACGTTGGTCCTGTTGTCCTGCTCCACCGCCTGCATCGAGTAAAATCTGTCCATGTTTCAGATCGGTCTTCTGCTCCAAACGGCAACCGCGCCGATTCCGTTTCACATCGGTTTGTTAATATTCTTTCAGTCCCAGACTTTGTTTCTCTGCGCCTGTTCCCTGTACAGAGCAGCAGTGTGAGATCAGTGGGCTCTCAGCAACCATAAACACACAGTGAATACTGCGTTATCTTAGAGAACTTTGATCTGTACTTGTATAATGACAAAAACCCCCCACGGCGAGTAGATGCACAGGCTGCCAGTCTCACTTTAGTCCTCATATTGTGCACTTGATCCAGAAAAGCTGTGACTGACAGGACAAGGAACATGAAGAACTGACATGACATGAGCTTGGGTGCTTTGAGAAGACTTGTGAACTCGACCAGAGGAGATCTTCAGCTGGACTGGAGTTAAGCTACGCACCAGTGGGGGAAAAAAAAAACAACAACAGTGAACGGGAATACCAGGAATGCAAAAGCGGCAGTAACCTGTAGAGAGAAAAAGCAAGGATCCCGACAGAAGTGGCGAAAGGGGGGAGTTGACCTCTTAACCCTACAAACAACCACCGGAGACTTGCATCATCATGGACAAAGAGACAAGCTTTATGCATGCAAACAGCTTTGCACAGGTCAGTCAGGACAAAAACTCTACATTTTTAGCCGCCTTCCCAACTAATAACTATATTTTAATTAAATCAAAAATAAACGCTGATTGTATTTATCAACACGGTGTGGTTGAACTCTGCGACCTTAAACAGATTGTGGTGAGAAGACTTGCATTTGCAAAATCAGTGACTCCTGCTGCACATCTTTATGTTATTGTTTAAAGGCTCAATTGGAAGAAAAGACATACAGTTCTTTTACATTTGATTTGTAAGAGAAACCATCGCTTTAATGTTGCTCTGGCAAACAACATTATCTTCAGATTTTGCAATATATAAATATGTATTTAAGAAAGTTTGCATTGCATGATATTACATTTTTAATCAGATCACATATTGCAGAATAGTTATGTCTTTACTTTTCAACTTGAAAGAAAAACATAGTTCTTTTATGTACGTTTTTACACAAGAAAAAGTACTTAAAACCATTTAGTAAAACCATGAGTCAACTGGTTTATCTAAAACCAGACCGACACTATCATTATGTTGCATCAAGTTGAATGGCAACTGAGATATAATATTATTTCCACAGGCTGCTATTCTGCTGTTTCAGTTACTAAATCAGGCAGGTACTAGTTAGAACAGCTGCATGAACAATTAAAACAAGTCTGAAAAGTTTTCAAAGGTTTTCTAGAAAACAGTGCGCTGAAGACAAAATGACCAGAAGGAGGTGAAAGCTGAATTATATGACGTTACATCTACAAGATAAAATACATTATGAAGTATAACATGTAAGTGGATAAATAGGTTTGGAGGCAGCATGGTGTTCGTGTACATTTATTTAAGGATTACATAATGGTAAGGGCTTAATTTCAAACGGACTCTGGACTGACAACAGGTTTCTTGGTCTATTTGCACATACAGACACACGAGCAGATGCCTGCCAACACCCAATCACACACAGAGATACACGTGCTTTCAGACTGAACAAATTTGTCAGAAAAGATTTGCAGAGTTTTCCATAAACTAACTCAATGCAGTTAAATGCAGCAAGCGCATTGAGTTTAATTGCTTTTGTCTCTTGTATTGTTTTTTGTTGCCATTTATACTAAATGTAAATTGCTTATTGTCGTCTAAAATAAATTCTTTAGTTTTTAAAATAGTGAACTGTCGCATCAACTTGTCCCTCACAGATTCCATGTGGATTCTGTTTTATCTAAACTGTCACAGGCTTTCAGCTTCAGAGTTTTTATGGCAGTTTCTCCTTTAGTTCTGAGCGGCAGACAAATACAAAGTTCCAAAGTGTAGGTCTGTAAGGAACTCACTGGCCGTCTCCTTCTTCTTAACAGCATCACGACACGGAGTTGTTCTCGAGTGAAGAAGACAGCAGTCTCTACTTCACCTACAGTGGTGGCTGCATCGAGCTGGAGGTCAACAACCTGCACTATGAGGTTACTATCGGACAGCCGCTCTGCTCACACTTATCTTTGGCTTCTTGCTGTTTTAATCTCCTCATAAATCTGCGTGCTGAATGTGTAAATATGTGTGTGTGTTGCCAGGTGGACACCGCAGCTCAGATTCCCTGGTATGAGAGGTTATCAGAATTCAAGTTACCCTGGGAGATAAAAGGAAACAAGCAGATTGCCATCAACAACCTCAGCCTCCGAGTGCGCAGTGGACAGATGTTGGCCGTCATTGGCAGCTCAGGTGAAGCACAAGCACGCTGTGAAATTTAGTATTGTTGTTTTTAATTAGGTTAATGAACTCAATGCCTCCTTGGATGGTGTCATTTGCGGCCGCTGCCTGTGGTAAAGGATCTCAAGGCTGAAGGTTTGTTCACGTGGACCAGGCAGGTCCTCAGTTTCAAACTGTAACAGACATTTTTAGCAGCAGATTTGTCATCGCTGGAAAACACGTGTAACTAAATACACTAAAACTAACTGCATTCCATTTAGGTGAGCTAGTGCTAGGATACTGTGCAGTCAGACTCTCGTGGAACTGAGCTATTATTAACGACATTCGCCTCAGATGTGTTTGTTCTGCTACATTTACATGCACGCTAATCTTCTGCTTTTATGCTGAATATGACAATATTCTGAATTCCATCCATCTGATGTAAACAGGATATCCCAAATGCAGCATTTTTGGATTAAAATGTGCAGGATATACTGATAATATTCAGATTTTGAGAGCATCTCAATTTGGGTTGTTATTGCAGTTTTGTGACACACAGTCTCTTGCCAGTTTACAATCAGTTCTGTGTGTTGAACACAAGCCAACAGTTTGCAAGACTAGAGGAGAGGTGAATGCCCAAAAGAAAAGCCCACATTTCTGGTCAGGAGGAGAAACACACCAGAAACACACCACACCCACTTCTGAACATTATGTATTAAGGGGTTGTCGGATATACTGAAAAATGGCAACGTCTACCTTTTCATGAATGTTGTGAAAAAAAAGGGAAAATCAAAGTATGCATGGCTTCATGTCAAATAGAATTTTAGTAGGAATAAAGACTTTTTTAGATAATTGGTGCAAAGACAGAAATATTTTCTGCATGTAAATGTAGTCACTGTATGCTATGAATATGGGATACATAAAACAGATTACAGAACATTAACAGTAAAGTGAGAAACTTATTTTCTTTTTTTTTTTCTTCTTAAAAACACAATAATCCTCTCCTAGGTTGTGGTAAAACGTCTTTGCTGGACATTATAACTTGCCGAGATGAAGGTGGCACAATGAAGTCTGGTCAGATTCTGATTAACGGGAAGCCCAACACACCCCAGCTGGTGAAGAAAAGCATCGCTCACGTCCGCCAAGACGACCGTCTTCTTCCTCACCTCACCGTCCGCGAGACTCTCAGCTTTGTGGCCAAGCTGAGGCTCCCCACTCACTTCACACAGGCTCAGAGGGACCAGAGGGTAAGATTAGAACTGATCAATTAACAGAACTCAAACTCTTTCCAAACAGGAATAGTATATACACAGCACAGCAGTGTTATAACCCAAGGTGTGTTCAAACAAAATAAACACTCCTCTTCTTTTTTGGGAGGAAAAGTTCCGGTTTGTCTGCTTTGAAATACAAACACTGACCACATACTGAAACAATATGTGGTCAGTCATGTGCAAAAGGTGTCCCACAAGGCTCAGTTCTAGGGCCTGTACTTTTTCCTCTATTCATTACCGATACTGTCTCTGTATTATAATGTAGTATGCACCTCTATGCTGATGACACCATATTGTACTGTAATGCAGATAATGTACATTCTGCTGTCAAAGCCCTTCAGCACTACTGAGTTACAAGTTGTACCTAATGAGCATAAATAAGTTCTTCATACAGAGAAAAAGTTCTATCATTTCTACTCTGAAAGGTGTAAATATAGAAAGAATTATAGAATACAAATATCTGGAAATCTGGTTCGAGGAGAAGCTGCATTTAAATATTGTGTCCAAACTGATGACTAATCTACATTAAATATATATATATATTACAGGAATAAATTATGTTTCCCTCTGCATTCTAGAATCAATATATTTTTTTAATCAATACTAGATTATGGTGACATTTTATACATCCATGCTCTGTTTATCACTCGGTATTATGATTTATGATGGTGGTTGCTATAATACTCAATATCGTGAGTTTCATACTCAGGTTGCATGGCCCTCCCTTCATAGGTGCTGGGTTTTATTTATTTATGAGACTCTTCCTGCTTTTTTACCCTCTTGCATTACCTTATTACTGTATTTTAATGTGACCACTACAGAACATTGAGATCACACTTGCAGGTACCTGTTGTTTTTACTACATTTGGAAAATCTAGTTTTACCCCCTGTGCGCCTGCAACCTGCAATAACCTGCAGAAAAGCTTAACTCACTTTTATTCTGAAGACAATTTAGGGTTTTAATGTCATGTGTTTTTTACTTTAAGCTGTTCTTGTTTTGGTTTATTTATTTGTTTTAAAACTTAAATGCTCAAGATAGTTTTTCATTTTGATTTTGCTTCTTTTTTTTTAACACAGCTGTATTGTGAAGGAGGCCTCCATATCAAAATGTACTTCAAGTTTAAGAAAAGTCTGAATAAAAACAGTGAATGAATCTATCATATTTTGCTTACAGTAGACTCTGCAGCTGAACCAATTACTATATGTTAAATGATGAGTAACTGTTGATGGTATTCCAAACCGTCTTTGTCGCAGGTGGATGATGTTATTGCCGAGCTGCGGCTGCGACAGTGTGCTCACACCAGGGTGGGAAACGACTACGTGAGGGGTGTTTCTGGAGGCGAGAGGAGGAGAGTCAGTATAGCGGTCCAACTTCTCTGGAACCCTGGTGAGAGAAATGAAAAGAAAGACACGACTTATTACAAGGCCCAGATTATGTTTTTTGAGTTTTTCTGTTTCCTTGAGTGAGTTATAGATTGTTTTTATGAAGTGTTTCACTAAAACTTTTGCAATTCAGAAGCATCTACAAATTTCTCAGCTCTTATTTAATGTGGGCCCACTCTTTAACCTGTCTGTCTGGATCATATCTGCATCACCACAACCCCCTATTCAAAAGTGGATCAACAAAATTAGGGCAGATGAGGACAATTAGCAGCCAGCTGATAAAGAGATGTCTTTTTTTTTTAATCAGTTGTTGAACTGGTTTTCACCTTTCAGGTATTTTGATCCTGGATGAGCCCACTTCAGGTTTGGACAGCTTCACAGCCCACAACCTGGTCATCACACTGTCCCGCCTCGCCCGGGGAAACCGTCTGGTCCTGCTGTCGGTCCACCAGCCTCGATCAGACATCTTCCAGCTCTTCGACCTCGTCGTCCTGCTGTCGTCAGGTTCAGCTGTGTACTGTGGTGCAGCTCGTGACATGGTGCCTTACTTCACTGCTCTGGGATACCCCTGCCCACGATACTGCAACCCCTCTGACTTCTATGGTTAGTGTGTATATTAAAACTTTAGGAAATTTAGGACCAATAAAGAAACTCTAATGTGTGAAAATCCTGAAAATGTTATTGCCACTGCAGCCTTTTCCTTCATGTCCTCTCCAGAAACATCCAGTGTGTCAGAAGTCTTCATTCATCTAAACCTGTACATTTTCAAGCCTGTTTTTGTTGCTGTGTGTGTCCAGTTGATCTGATCAGTATAGACCGCCGCTGTCCAGAGCGAGAGGCTGAGTGTTTGGAGCGGGCGCGAGTTCTGGCTGAGCATTTCATGGAGAAAGTCCGTGATACTGACGACCACATGTGGAAATCAGCTGGGACCAGTGCAGCACTAACACAAACTGACAGGTAGCCACGTGTTTGTGTACTTACGTTTGGACTCTACTATCCTCTTTTTTCCCAAAGCTAAAACAATCGGTTGATTAATCAATCAGTCAAAAATGCTGGAAAATGAATCAAATTTTCTGATATTTTGATGATTGAGTAACAATTTTAGCATTTGTTTATTTTGCTGCTTTTCTTTGTCATGGGCTGGTGCTTGAACAAATTAGCAAGCTGAATATGTTTCTATGAGCTTTAGGTTATTACAACAATATATTTTTCACTATTTTCTGTTTTTTTTTTTGTAGAGAAAAGAATGAGCAAAGAATTCTCAAAAAAAAAAAAAGACAGATTAAGGAATCATCAAAATGAATTTTGTCACTTTTCTGTTTCTCCTTTCATTTTGTCTCTGTGTCATGATCTCACTTCATCAAAATCATCTTCAAAAATGTTTCCAAAACATTGTTCTTCAGTGTCCAAAATGGCTATTTATTAAAAAAAAAAAGTAAGACTTTTTTTAGAGGCTTAAGAGTTTGTTGTTAATTTTTAACTGTGGACAGAACCCAGACTAAATCATCCATTACTCTCTGCAGCACGGTGACAGGAGAGAATGTAATCACTATATCCAGGGAACAAAACAAACTGCCTGGTGGACTGCACCAGTTTACCGTCCTCATCAGGTCAGAACACACATACAGATGGTATTATAGCACTCAAAGGGATGAACACTGAACTCGACTTTCTTCTCCTTCAGGCGTCACATGTATAATGACTTCAGAGACCTGGTCACCTTATTGGTCCACGGCTTCGAGGCCCTCCTCATGTCACTGCTGGTCGGTTGTCTCTACTACGGGGCAGGAGAGGATCGCCTGACCGTCCAGGACACGGTGGCCCTCCTTTACATGATCGGAGCTCTCACCCCATTCGCTGTGGTGCTGGACGTCATAGCTAAATGTGAGTAATTAAAGCCATCCAGCAGAGTTAAAGTCAGTCAAGTAGGTAATGCATTTCACATTCTGACATCGGTGACTTCAAGTGTAGTTGGAGGCAATAATCAGTCTGAGCGTCAACGTATATATAAATAAAACTGTTGGAAAAAAAGTGATGTTAGAAAGTTTTTCTCACTTGTTGTTGAGACAGTGTTAAAGACGACTTTGGTTAAAATGTTTTTTGATTCCAAAATGTCTATAATTTACAAAACCCTTCAATACATTTCACCACAAGATATACAATATCCAATGCTAATATTTTCCTTAAACTCTGTCTTTCCACAATTTCTGCATACACTGTATATGACACATGAAGCGTGGACAACGATTGTGATTGTGTACTATGAAATTATAACCATCATTTAAACGTGGGTCGGTGCAGCTGCCTCGTAATATTTCTTATCAGTAAGTTTATTGCTCCATATCTTGCCTTTTAAAGATATTATCCTCATCCCAATTACTATAATCACCTCCCTGACCAAACACTGTCAATAAAACCGTAATAAATCCGACCTTGTGAAAACTATATCGGCCACTCTGAATGAAAGCGAAGTGTTCATTGAGAATTACAAAATCTGTTGGCAGCATTGGATAAGCTTTTTGAATTATTTCATCATAGAGCCAAACACTTTGTATATCTGACTATTCTTAGTGATTGAAATAACTGAGAGCAGAAGAGTCTCAGCTGAAAATTGCACTCATTGTGTTAAACTTTTACCAACCACAGTTTTTTTTGCTTGAGTATTTTTTCTGTAGTTATGAAGCATGTCAGCACATAGGAGATATGCTACTACTTTCACTGATTCATATACTGTATACAGACAAACCAAAACAGATTAAGACAATGAAAAATACACAAAAACAAAGAAAAGGGTCAGTTTTCTGTGTTGTTAAAAACAAAAGAGAAATGTTCAACAGTAACCAAGAATCATTGAAAGTTGTGTCCGCTGCATTTTCAGTCTAAAGAGTGCATTGAATAAACAAAGAAAAACTGTAACAAGAGAAACCAGGAGGAGGGAAGATGGTTCAGAACAGTGTGACAAAGCTATCAGTTATTAAGTCTGTGGGAGATACTAAGTCACAGAGTTCTTGGACCTTGAGTTAAATCCCGTTCGGTCGCAACGTTTGCAGAGATAGCAGAGTCTGGCCAGCAGCCACTAAAAAGTCAAGTTCAAGTTAGGTCACGGTCAGATGATAACGAAAGTTATAAAATTGATTCCAAGTTAATTTATGACTCGAAATTAAATACTGTAACATTGACTGGCCAAAGATAAGAGAAAATCCTACGTCTTTATTTCATAATCACAACACATGCCTGTGAAGCTGGAGAGCGTCCGTATACATGTGTACATTATCCTTTATAACTATTCAGTCAAAGAGATTTTAATTTAAAAAAAAACTTAGAAAGAGAGAGAGGAAGAATGATCAGAGTATGTAGCGGCAATGAGTCTGTGTTACTTAATTTAACAGCAGTCTGTGAACGTTCCTGTTATTTCTGACTGTCTGTTATGTCGAGTAAATAAAACTTCAATTAGCAAAACATTGAAGTGCAGTTTTCCTTCTCAGTTTTTATCATTTCGATGCCTGTGATTTTCCTTTGGGGTGAGCTGAAACCTCTTTGCAGGGTGTCAAAAAATCATTGAAAAACCCCTAAATAAGAGTTTGCATATAAATAGAAATGGGAAAAAATACAGTTGTGGGGCAGGGACACCAGAGGTTGTAGCTGCTGTATGCACTGTGAACTGTGTGTCACCAGACTGACTTCATGTTTCCTGCAGGTCACACGGAGAGAGCCATGCTCTACCACGAACTGGAGGATGGCATGTACTCTGTCACCTCCTACTTCTTCGCCAAGGTAAACCGCAGTGATTAAACTGCATTTCCAGTAGGGGTCAGTCTTGCTCCATGCTGGAGTCACACCTCAGCATAATGTACCTCCCTGATGTTCTTCAGTACTGTAGTTTGAAATATGAGGTACTACATGTGCCTGCAGAAAATCACTCAAAACAGTTTCTGTATTTCTGTGTATTTAAATGTGTTTTTCCACTCTCAGGTCTTGGGGGAGCTACCAGAGCACTGTGTGTTCACTTTGGTCTACGGTCTGCCCATCTATTGGCTGGCGGGGCTCAACGAGGCTCCGGACCGCTTCCTGCTCAACTTCTTGCTGGTTTGGCTGATGGTTTACTGCAGCCGAGCCATGGCCCTGTTTGTAGCCGCTTCACTGCCCACCCTGCAGACCTCCGCCTTCATGGGCAACGCTGTGTTCACTGTCTTCTATCTGACTGGAGGTTTTGTCATCAGCTTGGAGAATATGTGGCTTGGTGAGGAGGCACATTATTTGTCCCCAGTTCAAATTTGTGTCTGGAGCCTGAGGAATATGTGTGAAGATAGAGACAGAACAAGACGCCTGTCAGTACGTGATGTTTGTGCCTGTTTCTGACTCCCCAGTGGCCTCGTGGCTCTCTTACGTCTCCTTCATGCGTTGGGGTTTTGAGGGGATGCTGCAGGTGCAGTTCAGAGGCAACATGTACCCCGTCTCCATTGGAAACTTCACCTTCAACGTCGACGGAATATATGTGAGTTAAAAACACTGATGTCAACTTCAAGTACAATCTAACTCGAGTATAATTTACAAAAAATGTATAGAAGAGATAAATCCCAACACTGTTTGGTAGTCATCTTAACAACAATTTTTCCATTTATCTACAAATATAATATGTTATAGGTAAAATATTAAAGATGTGAAGTCGTCAAACTACCACTGTGATGACGCAGCAACACGCTCAGCATCTGTCTCATTCTGTATGTCTGCAGGTGGTGGAGGCCATGAGCATGAACCAGTATCCTCTGTACTCGTGCTATCTGGTCCTGCTGGCGGTCTGTCTGAGCTTCATGGTGCTCTACTTTCTGTCCCTGAAATTCATCAAACAGAAGTCCAGTCAAGACTGGTAAACAAAATCAGTCCAACTTCAGCAATCAGAACAAGCACCGTCTTCAATGACACAAATCATTCAGGACAGAGTTTCGCTGTTTTTGCAGAAGTGGAAGGAAGTAATTCAGTTTCAAGTTCGACTGGTTCGAGCTTTTGATTGTCAATTTTATTGTTCTTATTTTCATGTTTGACTGTGGAAGAAGTTCTTAATTTAGAGGAATAAATGTAAATATGTATATTGTGCTTTTAGAATATTTACATTTTATTATAATTTCAACATTAAAAACTCTCTTTTAAATAGTAGAAACGTGTAAAATAACAACCCAGGCATCTCAGTATTATAAAATAATTGAGAAAAATACAGTAATTCCTGTCATGTTTCACTTGTCTATGCAATCTCAACATGAACCCAGCCTTTAGAGTTTAAAAATGGCAAAAAATTTGAATTTGTGTGAGAAAATCAGCTGTTCTCACGTTGCGCTGCAGTGCTGCTGTCTGCTGCTGGATGGCAGCAGAGCACTGCCTCAACATGGAAATTAAACCGATGGAAATGTTTCTCTCCCTCTCCTCTCTGTCATGGCAAATGATTAGAGCGCTACTTTGGCAGATATCCATCTGCAGCTTCTGCTTGTTCCATTTTCAATCTACTTTTTTTTTTTTTCTCCCACAGCTTTATCTCTTCTTTTTTTTGTATATGTAAGGTTATTAAGCTTACTGTAACAATTGTGTGTGCCAGTATAGGGAGCAATGAGAAAAAAATCCTAGTGGAGATTTAGTAAGTCACACTCAGAAAAAAAAAAAAAAGACCTTGTACTTCTTATGTCCTCATAGATTGATGGTTATGTAAGCTGTGTGTTTTTGCACTGGTGCAAAAGCCTGCTAAATATTTTACCAACAGTAAAGTATTAAATCAAATTGCCTCACTTGTTTATTTTTGTCATCACTGGTTTTGTTATTCAGTTATACATTGTACAGCTATTTTGGCAACACACACTCCTTTGTATTGGTTCTTAATGTGAAATCATTAATAGAAATGAGGTATATAAAACGCTAAAATGATAAGTTAAAAAGTTTGTCTTGGAAAAAGCTAAAAAAAAAAAAAATGCAGGTTTGAAACAAACTTTGGGGGAAAAACAAGCCCTGGCTCATAACACAACTTCCTCTAGACCTTGTTACTTTTTCTGTGTCTTAATTTGGATCCAAAATGAGCTCCTCTGACGTCAAGCAGCCCACAATCTTCTTGGGAAGCGACCAGTTTGTGTTATCTAAGGCCCGGCTCGGTTGGGGCCAGCGACTTGCATTACATGAAACAGGAGTATCTGAGGTCAGTACTGGAGAGTGAAAGGAGTTCGATGCCAAGCTGAAGAAGGCTGCAGACGGTTAGACAGCATAAAATGGTCTGTCATGCAAAATCAGAGCCGAATCAAACGGGTCCCAATAGTCGTTTGCATTTATTTTGTATATGCAGTGAACATGTAGATGCTTTCTGAACAGAGCGAGCTTTAGTCTAGTCAAAAGTGGAAAGTGAAGAGCAACATGTCTGCAGGTTCTGCCATCCAACCGATAATCTTAAACGCTTCCTTAGAAGGCAACTGGACTTCTTTTTGGAAATCTAAAAAGAAGTCTGGTTGCCTTCTTCTGAAGCACTTAGGAGAGTAAGGAGGTGTTTTCCTGTGTCTAGTTGTTTTAAAAAAGGCGTTTGAATTTAGCACAGTTTTTTTTTTCCCACACTTCCAATTAAATTAGATTCAACTTTATTGCCATTACAAAGATAACAAATGCGGTTCAGCTTCTAATCAGAAGTACAACAGAAGCAGTAAAGTGCTTCAAATAAAGTGTAGAGAGGGTGAGGCTGTGTTCAAACCATTCCACCCATATAGTTCATTCTAACTATAAAAATATAAAAGCTGTAGATAACAATATAAAGAGAGATGGATGTACATGTACAGGTAGGGAATAATGGCTTTGTGAACTGAATGAATATTGTAGTTTAATGCAGTAAATTTAATTTTGAATACCCCAGAAACTCTGCTGCAACTTAATTTACTTTCAATTTAAATTGAACGCAGTGCTGTTGAACATGGGCAGATTTTTATGAATATATTCTATATGACAAACGAACATTGTTCAAGTGGAGCGTGCATGTGTCCATAATAATAATAAAAATAAATACCCCCAGTCTATGTTAATACCAGATATAAATGGGTTCACGTCGTTAGTGTGGCGCCGGGACTTCTTCCCACCACTAGAGGCAGCAGCGACACGGAGCTGCACTCAGCGAGGAAGAAGTTCGGCGCCATCTTGGAGTTTGTGCAGTTTGATGTCTTGTCTCCGTTAGAAGTCTGCTCACCTGACACGCAGGTGTTTTTCACTCAAGGAATTGCAAAGAAAACTGCCGACCAAACGGGGAAATTTTTTTTTAAAAATTTTTCTGAAGCTAATTTTAAAAATGTCTGAGTAACAGACGTAAGATAAACTATATTTGTTAGCCGTGCTGAAGCTTAAAAGTCTTTAGCTTCTTTTAGCTAGCTTAGCTAATTGACACAGCAGCGTGTAATTTACCACAAGTTCAGTTTAAGTATTAAGTTTAATTAAGTTAATCATCAGTTAAACATTTTAAGCAAGTTCCTAGCTTAAAGTCACCAAAAAACATGTATTAATAATAACTTTACATGTAATAGTGCATGTAAATAAATGAAAAAAGTGACAAAAACTACATAAAACTTGATAATAAACACGTGGGACAACCATATAAACAGAATAACTGATGTTAACTATGTTGGCTAGATTAAAAAATATAAATAAATACAAGTAAAATCACAGACAGGCTATAAATTAAAGGAAAAAACTAAGTGTCTTAGTATTGGCCCAACGCACGTGGCAGGAATTTTTTCATCGTCCCTTGCTTTTGATTTTCTCTGGATCTCTGCTGCAGGGATGAAACACCATGATCTTAGAAGATACTCCTCATGGGGTGTTTTGATGATGGCAGAGAGCTCTGGCTTACAAATCCGTCTTGGTTGACATCAGGTGACTGGGAAAGCCATAGCATATGTTCCTTATTCTCATCAAACCATTCAGTGGCCCAATCCCAGTCTCCACACTGGAAGGCCTTATGGTTGTCCCTTTGTCGAGTGCATGAAGGCTCAGTTATGAACTTACCAACCTATGTGCCTTTTCTGAGTCCAGCTGTCTACAGGTTTATCAAAGAAACTTCACAAAATGTGCACAAACCAAGTATGTATGGTCAGGGTTTTTCCTGCATGGAGGATTTTTTGATTCCCCCTAAAGGGATTGTTGTTAGGGTTTAAAAATATAAACATTAGTGGAAAGTTTTGTTCAAAGGATAGTACTTAGTGAAGGTGTTAACTTCAGAGAATGATTAAACGATTCATAGTATTATTGATCATTTAGATGGAGAACTAAATTGAGCGATTATTTAAGGACGTGCGTCACTCTTTGAGAATTTCCAGAGACAAGAGTCGACTGACATTATTCTAATGACTATTATTGTTATTACAGGGTGGCAGGCCTTTGGTTGTGCCACACTCTAAGCAGATGCACCGCTACCACAGCTCCTTTTAAACTATTTCAAAACAAGTGAAACTTTAGATGTCGGGCAGGTTACAACCTGAGCCGGTTGTCTTCAGGTGTTGAAGGACACAGATTTCACTTTCCTCTAAAATGGACTCAGAAATGTTTTAAATCTCTAAAAAACAATGTACAAATATGTTAGATAATTTTTCTATCATATTATTTACAGTAACTTAACCTAAAATGTTTGTGTAGATGGTTTAGGCAATAGCTGACTGAACTCTGGAGCTGCAATGATTGACAACTTTTAAATTAGTTGCCAACTACTTTGATAACTGATTCATCGATTTTCAGTCATTTTTCAAGAAAAATTGCCTCAAACCAGCTTCTTAAATTTGATTATTGTCAGGTGTCTTTACTCCTCTACAACAGTAAACTGAATGTCTTTGGGTAGAGGATAAAACAAGATATTTTCATCTTAGGCTTCGGGCTTTTTTTTCTTACGTTGTTTAGAGCCAATAAATAATTCATTATTGGAGAAAATATTCAACAGATAATTTGACAATGAAAACAATTGTTAGATGGAGTCATACTGAACTGGAAAACCCAGATTCATTATTTATAATGAATCAATCCATCTGTGTTTTTGTCTTCGGCTCATCCAGGTCCAATAGGTCGGTTATGTTAATACAGATTGTCATATACTGCTAGAATGTACCTACAAATGTGCTATATTAATAAATAATGTACTTGGTAATTAGAGTTACTGTAAGTGCCTGAAAGCAGTGAATGAAAAGCTAGACTGACATGTTTCATATTTTTACTGTTACGGCTGTAAAACAGGTAAAACATTAAACTACGCATTGTTGAAATGTTTTAATGTGTTCAGGAACATGTCGGGAGTATTTTAAAATGTGCTCAATAGATAGTAGAAACCGTTCAAACCACACACACACACAGAGAATATGACTTCCTACCATCATTTATTAGCATAAATACTTCTGTACATTCACACATTTTCTTCATCATCATCATCATCATCATCATCACCATCGTGGACAGAATCTTAGTATCCAACCTTTACGACACAATGCTCAACATTTCAACTTAAACAACTAAAGTAAAAAAGAAAACGATAAAAGGAAGAAAACAGTGGGATTTGCAACGAGGTATGAGGAGGGGTTGATGAATATTTATTCCTCTGCTGTCGCCTGGGCTTTGGCTCTGCTCTCTCTCAGCTTGTTTGCATAAAACTTAAAGGACTCCTGTAAAGGGAGAGAAAAAGAGAGACGATTCAGCATTAAACGTAGTCCAAACAAACCGGCTCACCTGCGAGGCTGTAAGGAGTGCACGTTTCCGTCTCGCCTCTTTTCAAAAGTAAGCAGCGCTGGAGCCCTCCTGGGTCTGTCTAAATAGTCTCCAGTCTCCAACCAGGTTGTCTCGTTTCATCTTTAAATCCCCATTAATACACAAATAAGGGATTTGTACCACATTCCCCAAACACACACTTCCGTCCTTTGCCTCTGTTCCTGGCTAATTAATCAGTGTTTTGATCCAGACAAAGTGTTGTGGTGGGTGTTTTTGGGGGGAGAAGGTGAGAGCTTTTCTGCAGATTACATTAGCTCCCTACAATGTATGCTTGCTTATTAATCTAGTAATTAATGCCGATGAATAGATGCGAAGGAGGGAGAGATCCTGGCACGGCTTTCAAACGGTTTCAAAGGGTCACTTCGCCCAAATTACAAAAACAGATTTTCTCACTAGATTTGTCCAGCCGCTGTTTCACTTGTTCAGGTTCTGACAAAGCTCAGCGCAATTACACATTTTAAACAACGCGACGTTTGTTTCCAGAAACGCTGACGCGCTGCTGCGGGGGGAAACGTTTTTCTTCAACGGAGCAGCAAATTGTGCACAAATGGAGAACAAGCAAGTGAGGTGGGTTTGGAACTATTTGAAGAAACTTCAGAATCCCATGACTGTTCACCTTTCCCTCTCCTTGCAACTCTTCTTCTCCGCACTGCTTATAAAAACCCAGCAATCACTTAACTACCCTGACATTTGGTAAATAATGCAGGAGCTTCTCTACCTTCATCCCTCTTTCTCCTTCTATCTTTGTACTGCAGGTGAGTGATGTGAAGGTAAGAGTCGGGCTTCGGTCCACACCTGCCTCGAGGGGACAGCACATCAGAGTGCTGCGGCTAAGAGGCCTCTGTGTGTGCATATATATGTGTGTGTGTGTGTCATCAGCCAGAAATAGAGGCTACATCAGCTTACAAAGTGTTCAATGTGCTGAAATGCTCAAAAACACTATGAGCCAGAAAAGCAGAGTGGGGCTATTGCAGTGACACCATCTCGCTTACATCGTATATGTACTCTGTGACCGTGGGGCGTAATTTCTGACACACACACAAAGTAACAACCACAGGAGGCTAGCTGCAGGCCTGTGCATGCTGAACTACTCTAAGCGGGCAGACTGCTCCTTCACATTACTACGACCGCAACACACACACAGTGGCACATATTAGGACACAACCCGGACAAGTGCCAGCACCGGTTAGGAGCTGCGGAGCCTTTGTGTGTATTTGCACAGATTTGTTTGTAATATGTTGCTCATGTGTGCGTTGTCGTATCAATAAGGTGTGTGTATGTTTATGTAATCCAATGTGTGCAAGCGTAGCGCCGTGAGAAGCATCATTTAATAACATCGAGTGACATCATATCATAATGTCTAAATCCTGTCATGTCACCATTTTATCAAAGTCAGACGCCTGATTTACTGATAGCAGGAGCACTGTAGTCCAAACAGTTGATAATGGTGTGTAGAACAGTGGGGAGCATAAATATATTTGGCTGGACGTCCTCTTCCCAACCTGCAGGTCGTGTCAAAGGTGTAGTCAGGATTCATGTGATGTTAAGTCCACAAGAGTCTGCATGTAGATTTCTGTGAACGTCTGTTTACAGCCAAATTCTAACTGTGTGGCAACCACGCTGCAACGGCATTAATGGACATGCTCGGCAGTAACGCACACTCAGAATCTGTAGACATAGATCTACCACACATGTATAGTAGTGGTATAATAAGGACCACATGCCCGTGGTGTCTGTAGCTGTACTCCACAACGGAGTACCATCTTAAATTCGAGGGGTCACAAGAGGGGAGAAAAACCTCTTCTACTGCGCATGTGTGAGTCCTCCTAGAAAGTATTATAACATCAACGGCTACGCATCTGTGGGGTTTGCAGCTGAACAAATCAAGTGATTTGCAGGTTAAAACTTCCAGTGTGTGAGCCAGTGAGGATGGCTGCTGTGGGAAGGTCCACAGAGTTACACAGGAAAGCGTCCATGTTGCTCACTTTGACCATCGTCGTACTGCGAGCCTGAGCTTTTAAAACGCACGCTGACTTTGCGTTGCACATCTAGAAAATTGTCTGACTTACAAGGAACTGAATCAAAGCAGCAGACCCAAAGACACAGACGTCTTTTTTGCTCCTACATTACCCACAATGCAAATCAACCACCAACAGTTCAGTCAGAGATTTCAGTGTGCATCCTTTTGTTCCTCTGAAATGCCAGATTTTTTTTCTCCCATTTTCCAACTTGACGCGACATCTCATGAGGCAGTTAATCAAGTTTTTTGCTGAACTTTTTTCCACATATTCATGTGTTCTAACCTTTTCTAACTGACCCCTTTAAGTGCACATCATAAACATCCATCCATTTTCTATACACCGCTTAATCCTCATTAGGGTCGCGGGGGGGCTGGAACCTATCCCAGCCGACTTAGGGCGAAGGCAGGGGACACCTGGACAGGTCGCCAGTCCATCGCAGGGCCACACTTAGAGACAGACAACCAAGCACACTCACAGTCACACAATTTAGAATCACCAATTAACCTCAACATGTTTTTGGATTGTGTGGGAGGAAGCCGGAGAACCCGGAGAGAACCCACGCTGCACGGGGAGAACATGCAAACTCCATGCAGAAAGATTCCGGTGCCCCCACCGGGACGCGAACCGGCAACCTTCTTGCTGCGAGGCAACAGTGCTACCAACTGCGCCACCTTGCAGCCCCACATCATAAACATGCTTTTTATAACAAGGATACAGCATCTTTTCCCTGCTATTCTGAGGAATCAACCTCAAAACATTACAGGTACACATTGCTCGTGTAATTAAAGGGATGACCTGTAGTTTGGTTCTTTTGATCACACATTTTCAAATACTGGACCCGGTCGAGTTTGTAGCTGAGTGATTATATAGACCATCTCCTCTGTGTGTGTTTGTGAGACTCACGGGGGGCTCAATGAAGGGCGGTGTCTCTCCTGCGTTACGGTAAAGCGCAGCCAGCCGTTTGAGGAACAGCTCGTCTGCAGCTATCCCCTCCTCCATCATCTCCTTATACAAAGCCTTGGCTGACGTGAAGTCCTTATCCAAGTCTGCCAGATGAGAGGAGGAGAGAGAGACAGAGAGACATAGTCAACACATGAGACACAAAACATGTCAAATTCTTATTTGGATGGAGATACTTAGAGGAAAACTGACAGTGTGAGCACGAGACAGAAACATGTGGTGGTGGGAGAATAATGTCAGCTTCCACTGAGGTCAAGTTATTGGTGCTATGAAATTCTATTTTAATGCAGCTGCTCATTGGCTAGTCTTTGTATTTACCCAGTCCTTTGACAGAATAATAATTCATTTTTAGCACGTCTGAAATGCTGCTGGTTGCATGTTTACTAAGCCGGTAGAGAAGCAGAACCTTTTCTAAACTGGATCTTATCTTTCAAAATGTGACGTAATGATGAAACGCAGGAGGAAAAATAGGCAAAGATTCACTTCACAGTTACTGGAAAGAAATAATCTTTTATATACATTTTAAAAAATCTGATTATTACAAAATTCTAAAGCTGCCGTCTGTATCTTTCTATCTCTTCAGAACCGAAAATGATTTTATGTTCGTGTCACAGTAATCTGTAAACCCACAACAGCATGAATGTGTTTGGTTGTAAGTATCAAAAGAGATAAAAGTAGAAAGTCAAGTCACTACTGCCAAAAAAAAAAGAGGCAAGAGACAAGAGAGCCCCTCGAAGAGGAATAAAAAAAAAAGAGAAAAACTACATAGATGCGGCAGAGAACAGAAGCGAGCAGAGAATCGCTAATTGCTTCCCCTATGGCTGCCTTGACCGACCAGCGAGCTAATGCTAATTAAATAGTCATGTCTTCTCATCTCTGGTGTGACAAGGTACGAGAGAGGGAGGACGGGAGGGTGAGAAGGTGAAGTGCAAGCGAGGAGGGGGAAGACAAGAAAAACTGAGGACAAGAAAATACAGGCGGAGTAAAAAGGTGGAGAGGACAAGAAGTGATGGATGGAGAAAAAAAAAAAATGTGCGAAGGGAAAAAAAAAAAGCTGAGTGGTGGAACGTGTTGAGATTAGCACGCTAGGCTAGCCAGGACAGCTAACTCATTAGAGGACATGTGTTCTTCTAACCCCTGAATGTCTGCCTTCACACACAGAACGCAGTCTTTGACCTGATACATTGTTAATGCGTCCGTTAATGTTGACTTAGCCACAGGCCAGTGAGCTGCCGGCTGCCTCCATAACACTTGCTAGGGCCTTGTGCGGGAGTCTTACCGTGACATTTCATTGTGTACGAGTACAACACCTCCTTCTCAATGGCGTCTGGAATCAGGCTCACCAGGGTCTTGATCTTGTCCAGCTGTGCACACAAACATTTATTTACACACGGGAATGATTTTTTGCATATGTGAGGATTTGCTAACATTTTAAACATGCAGGTTTTGTTGCCTGATGGTGAAGTGGCCTTTACAACCAAAGTGAAATTACAATGAGGTTTTCCTGTAAAATCTGTATGAATAACATGCAAAACTTTTACATGCTAAATACAAAGTGAGGCTGCTTTCAATAATAACACTATGCACAGTGTTATAGTAGAATAAAAGTAGTATAATATTTATCAAATAGCCCTCTGAACACCAAACGGTTTCTCTGTGTTTTCTGCTCCCGTCACATTTTGCACACTGTGGACTCTTTTTTTTTTTTAACTGCAATATAAAACCATTGCACCTCAACGGAAAAAGCACAAGCATGGCTAGAAGTACAGAACTCAAAAATAAAAAATAAAAAAAGTTGAATTTCTCTGATGACTTGTTTTACAAAAACTGGGGGGAAAAAATGCCAAGTGCTCACAGGAGTCAACTAATAGAGATCTTTTACCACTTAAATGTAATTGGTTTCCAAACTTCTACATCTGTCTGCTCTGCACGTAAACACATCCTGCACTTCACCCAAAATGTCCCTGAGTTATTGTCACCTGACTCTTGGTTGCAGATGATTCACTGACGGCTTGTCGGTTGTGCAGAGGGCAAACATGACATGTAGAGTGAAGTGATTTTTAAGAAATACTGTAACTTTAAGCTTACTTTAATTGGGTTGCACAACCAAACGGCATGACTAGTTCAAGGACAGTCAGAAAGCTAAAAATCTGGCAAATTTTTCTGTTTTTATAGTTTCTGGTTCTGATAAATGTTGTAAATTTGGTGTTTTTTTTGGGTTTTTTTTAAAAGACAACATGTCTATTAAACCTGCTGGCAGTTTTTGGGGGTTTGCAGGGTTAAGATACACTTTCACAGCTATTACTGGTTCCAGGAGGCTAAAAACAACAAGTGTTTCCTCACTGCAGGAACTTGCAGGCTGTGTAAGGACAGCTTGAACCTTTGTGCATGTTCTGAATGCAGGAACCACCCCTTATGTGCTGTTATTGGGGCAGAAAGCGACCTAGGGTAGGGTATTGCAGTGGACGGTTGTCTGATGGTGCCCCAATGTGGACTAATAGTGATGTGAAGTTCGCCCTCAATATAACTTGTGTCTGCAAGTGTAAAAAAAAAAGCCTGTTTGTAAGGTTTGCAACGGCACTATTTTTGCATAAAACCGCTGCACAAATAAGCCGTACAACTCTAAGTCACGAGCCAAAACCTCAGTTTTTCCCATCTACACGTTCACACTGTAAACGTCTCACAAGTTTTAAAAAAAATTTTTTTTTTAAAAGCCCGTTATCAACGAGAGAGAGCGATCAATTTGTGTGTGGATGAAAGTCCAAAATGCATAGAAAATGATGTTTAAAAAAAAATAAAAAATAGCCATGCACATGTGGTCAAGGCCTCAATTACTGTCTAAATATGCAGATGCTAAAGAGAAGCATTGTGGGACATTACCTGTCCAGGCATCTGAGCCTTCTCAGTCACGTAGGACAGCAACACTGTCTTCTGTTCAGCCACAGCATTGCAGCGCTGCATCAATTCAAAGCAGACAAAAAAAAAAAAAGGACATAATAGATTAGTGTGAAAGACAACACGAGGTTCTCTTGACTTTTTTTTTTTTTTTTTCCGAAGTCAAGTTGACTCTCCAACTTGAGCTCTTCACACAGATCCAGTGTATAAACACACATGCTCACCAACACGCCCACGCATTCATGCAAACACACTCAGGGTTACACTCAGGTTAAAGGATAATTATGGATTTAATAACTACTCGTTTCTTTATGAATTTAAATGTACAGCACTGCTCACATCAGAAAGCATAATTATCATCACTTAGTCACAGTAAAGGCCATATCTAGTACTCGACGGCAACGTAAGTAGAGCCTAAGCTCGGGCCGCATGATTGTCTCTTGTGGAGCTTTAAGACTTGGATCGGTGGAGGTCTGCATGTGAAAGAGAAGGATAATAAACAGGCACGAGAGGAGGAAGCAGATCTAAGGGAATTATTCCACCTGAACAGCAGGTCCACAGTTAGTCTGTCTCACCTCCCAGCAGCTGGACGGCAACTGAGAAATTATGATATTAATTCAGCCAGTATTCGTTTTGTGACATAAACAGGGACCTTAAAGCTGTTTTTTTTTAAACTGTCACGGGACTATATACCATGTAAATGTAAAGTGGTGCTGTTTCTATATATCCAACTATTTTTTGTGATTTCTGACACTGATATGAAACCTAATTCTGAGTTTGAGATGCAGAATTATCCCTTTGCATTGATGCTAGGCAGCCGTGAGCCATTTCTGACAGAACTGCAACTGTAATAGCTGCTTTTTAGGTAAAATTGCATCAGATTTGGACTCGGTATTGGCAGCAATTCTGAAGAAAAAGCTCAACAATTTGAGTGCGTTACACCTTAATGACACGATGCATACAAACCGGGCAGGAATTTAGATATACGTGTACGTTGTGGTGCAAATCTGTTAACTGACAGAGTTGCGTCGCTGGCCGTTTAACCTGTGCATGACTGCTTATAATGAAAACATGCAAACATACATATGGTAGACCTTGTGTGTGTGTGTGTGTGTGTGTGTGTGTGTGCAGGAGATGCATTAACACCGCTGAGCTCTGAGCGAGTGTGTTCTCTTGGCTGAGCAGCAATGAGGTCCGATTACTAGCCAGTCGTAAACTAACGTGTTTCACTCCTTCTCTGCCTCGTACAGAATTAAAAGCGAGTGGCCTGTGAGGCTTTTAACAGGACCTCTCACACACACACACACACACACACACACACGAAGCAAGCAGCCTTCTTCCAGAGTCACTAAGTGGCAGAATGGCTTTTGTACAATCAGGCAATTAGACCAACACTGTGTCACTTCACTCGTCGAAGCAACTTTTGCTCGGCGCTCTGACTCACTCTCCTCCTGTATTTTTTTCCTCCCTTGCCACACCAACCGCTCCCAACGGCGACGCCACAGCCAACCAGGCCTACAGTCTCCCCTGCTCCTCGCACACACTGCCTAAAAGCTCTGGCTACCCAGGGAATGCTTCCTCCTTTCCCTCAATCCGCCCTCCCAGCACACACATCTGCACGTAAGCAGCTGTAGACGAGTCCGCCTGCATCACTGCTTCCTTCTGCCACCGTTTCTTGTCTTAATGACTAACTTCATCCCTCTCGCTCCCCGCCGACCTCACCTCCTTCTCTCCTGATAGCCTTGTCATCATTATAGTCTGCTTGCCTACTTAAAAGCTTTTCAGAGTTTTGGTCCTGCTTCACTTCTGATGGGATGGAGGAGTTGGGCTGCTACTCCCAGTGACCCTGTAGAGCAGCTTGGAGGAGGGGGGGAGGCAGGAGGACCAAAACAGGCCACGGTGAGGGACAAACTGGAGCACAGCAGCAGTTTAGCCGGGGTCACATCCTCACTATGAGATTTCACTTTCTAGCACCATAAGGGTTTGTCCTCGAGGTTTGTTTTCTTGTCGCCCCTGTTTTGCACAAGTAATTAAATTTTCGGGGCTCGGGAGGCGCGTCTCTCCGACTGTGTATCAGTGGGTTTCTCATACTTGAAGCGCTTCCTCTGCGTTTGTGGTAAAAACATCATCCTGAGTGCAATCAGATAATCCCGATGATTAACGGTCTTTAAAAGGACACTTAGAGCCCTGCCTTTATCTGCTGCTTTCATAGTGTTTAGCACATTTTGTCAAACTTTTGCATCAAAAATTTGTGTGTATTTTTATTTCCATCTTTTAAAGTTGCTGTCTATTCTTTTAAAAGTTTAAATGCCTGTCCAGCACGTCGATGCTGCAAGCTGTGTACATTTCACTGGTGAGGCGTCACTTAATTCTTGTAGGTGATTTAGGTGGAACTGATCCTGGAACTAGTGATCATCTTTATTATAAATCTTTTTTTTTTATGACTACCAAAAACAACTTTGCATATTGTCCAAGAAACAGTTCAAACCTCAGAGCTGTTCACTTTACTGAAATTTCAGACAAGAAAAAGCATGAAATTGCCATGTTTAAGATTAAAAAAGCATTAAATATTCTGCATTTTGGCATAGAAACAAATAAAATATTAAAACAACAAACAAACTATTTAAAATGCATCCTCTTTTTTTCAAGTTCTCTATAGGTTTTGTATATAAACTCAGACAAACGTAAAAGCACAAGATATCCATCTGAAATGCATCGAAGTAGACGTTTAAAGTGATGTAAAATGGAAATGTTTTATTAAAGTTCAGACTTCACATTTGTCTATTCAACTACAGGACATGACGAACAGGCTTAGTTACATTCTACCACTAATGAATTATGTTTTTAAATACATCTTCATTGCATTTAAGAGCAAGAAGTGCAGCCAAGAACTGTTAATTTAGCTTTTGTGGCACACGCTATTTTCAAAGTACATTTTTTCCCTCCCGTGTCTCTAAAATGAAACCTGATAACAAACAAAATTGTTCTTACATCTTTATTTTATATCTTGTAGCAAGAGGAGGGCGGGGAATCCAGCCGAGTCGCATATTATAGCTTTAAAATCGTGTAACCATAGTTTGTGTTTAAATAGTAATAAAGATGGGAGTAGTGAGTAATGTATCTGTTCATTAACATGCATGTTCGTCAGGCATCCCTGTTTAAAGATTGAGAGGCACAGTCACTCAAGATGTCAGGGAGGGATGACACTCAGACATGTCTTCTTCATGTCCATAGCGGTTTCTACGTCTGGCTGTTTTCCAGTTTTACTCTCAAGAAAAACGGATCCAAGAAAGCCAGTTAGTATAAAAATAGGAGTCGTATCAACTAACCTAGCTGATGAATTAAGCCGGTGTTTGGTGGGTTGTCCCACAAAACGATGTATGCGTGCGCTTTCTTTGATATTTCTCCTTACTAAATCTATTTTACTGGCTGTAGCAGGAATATTTTATTATATCATTCTGCAAATTTACTCTTCTCTGGTTGCATATTCTTTGCTGTAACTATTTAGACTTTGGCTGCTTTAGTAGTCCTTTGACTTCTTATTGAAAAACGCTTTTTAAATCAGTATAATGTGCCTCAAACCACACATGTAGCTCAGCGTGATGAAGTAAGCAGCTCAGATTGTGTGATAAGGAGCATGAAGTAACCTGAACAACACTGATTTCCATAGTTCGAATACATCTTTAGCGAGGACTTTAAACCCGTGCAGCTGAATGAGGGGCAATCAATCACTAAGAGAGTGAAACGATCACGGCTAGAGAGAAGGAAACAAACACAGCGAGTGCAATGTCTTCGTCTAAATGTTTGTGTCCTCCTCTTGCTCTCCGGTGCCGCCTCGCCCTCTCCGTCCTTCCTCCCGACTCTCACCCATCCAGCTGCTACATATTCATGTCCCCAGGCTCAATGCAAAGTCATTGAGCTGTAATGTATGAACTGTGTTAAATAAGTGAAGTAGTCGGAGGCCAATTTCAGACCACCAGACTCAGTGGTGGAATGTGGGCAAGCATTTCCTGACATAAATGTGAGGACGGATAAATAAGTCAGTGATCGTGACGGGAAGAGAGACTCCGCCATGGCTGGGGTCTGACAACTGGACGAATGCAGCTGGGAGTTGGGATGGACTAAAATTCATCTCCAGGTCCCTTGTTGATTGTTTTTTTTTTTTTTTGTGGTAGATTTTAATTACTTTGATATTATAATTTAAAACGTAGCCGAGTGCAAGGAAGTCAAATGGGAAGTGTGCACTGAGACAAAAATGCTCCGGATGATTTAAAATGCATTTAAGAGATCACAAAAAGTGAAAAAATAAAAATCTTCTGGATCTCTCCTCATGCTTTGCATCACAAGAGAAACTGAGAACTATCCTACACTTTAACAACAGCAGATCATTCTGTTTGTTGACCGTCGCACATTCAGATTCATTCAGATATTCTTATTGGCTCTCGACGGAGATTAATAAATGTCCATGACCTGAAAAATCCCAGCTTCCTTCATTTCATGTTTAAAAAGTGATGAGGAGAAGTGAGATTGAGCTGCAGGTAACGTGTCTGTATCCATTTGCGTGAATGCTAATTAACTTCCCTGTAACATTAATCACATGTATCTCATCTCAGCCCCTCATCTGAAAGCCCTACACACACACACACACACACACACACACACACACACACACACACACACACACACACACACACACACACACACTCATACTGTGGGCTACGTTTTGAAAATGAAAAACCGCACACAAAAAAAAGAATAAAAAATACTGAATTTGAAACGCAAAACATACCTTTGGACAGGCTACAGCTAGAAATATATCAGTGATACTTTACGCACAAACGTGTTGGCTCTCAGGCTTACAGCTTTTGGGCACACACACACAGACATACTTACAGCCAGCATGAATTTGGCTTCTTCGACTTTGCCCATCTCCAGCAGCTGGAGGAAGAGGTCTGTAGCTGGTATGTAGCAGGCAAAGTGGTTGGCCAGTCGCTCTGCCATAGCACTCACTGCGACACAACAAGCACATGTTGGTCAGCGGTTATTTTGCTTCATTTAAAATCAGCCCTTTTGCATGTGGCCTCGTATTTCGGTTTCTTTCTTCATACATGTATGCAGTGCATGTGTGTGTGTGTGTGTCTTACACTTGTCTAAGGCGTTGTCATCGTCACTTTGCAAGACCTTTCTGAAGAGGAAGGACATACTGGACTTGATGGTATGTGGATCGGTGTAGAGGCCCTCCAACAACTCTACTGCTGATTCCACATCACCACTGAAGAGTGAGAGGGGTAAGAATTAACAAGAGGGTTAGTTCAGTAACATCCAAACGACACTCAGCCACTTGCACGTGTGTACTATTCAAACAGATAAACAAAACTGGAAAAACAATCCCAATCATGAGACAAGAATATCGGATAATTCTGACAAACACAGTCACTTTTAGCGAAGAATTTTTCAATTTCCAACGCAACAAGTAGGCGCGCAGGTTTATTGATTTAAGCTGGTTGTGCTACACATCCGTCCTCCCAACCTCTACACCTGCCTGCTTTCACCCTCCTTACATAAAGGGCGCACTTCTTTTTGCATTAGGACTGAATGTAAATTGCAAGTCATAAAAATGTCCAATATGGCTGTGTTTTCTCAGGATACTGTGCTCGGAGAAATACAACACATCAGCAGTACGTCACGCTATGATTCCTCTTCGAAGGGGGCGAAGCATATGCATCGAAAGTATTATGACGGATTTTTTTTAAAAAAACGATAAAACTGCTCCCATGTGCCGTTTCGTAAACTTTGAAAACGTGAAGTATTAAATGATATTGGTTTCACATTTTGTCCTTTACAACCTTCCTCTGAGTGCAGAGCAACTCATTCTTCCACTTACACTGTGAAATGTTTTTCTGCTGAGGTTGCCACAACCAAACAAAGCCTGCACACTAAAGCAATACAAATCTAAAAGAACTCAATCTGGCAACCCAGCCTCACTGCTAACACTTTGCGCTCGCTGCTCCCTCCCCACCGTCACCAGTCGTAATGAATATTTAACATGCGGGGTGTGTGTATGTACATGTGTGAGCGTCCAGAGGTGGGGGAACATATCTACGGTGATTGTTGCGACTGGGACCGTCTGAATAATTCAGCAAGGGGCCCCTCTAAATGTGGCGCTCCGCTTTCCGGGCCTGCTCGCTTTTCCGCCGCGGCTCTTAACCAGTCAGCTTGACTCAGATACGACGGGGGGAAGCACGTGTCAGAGAGGCTCAGAGCGCTGCTCCCAGAGGTCAGGGTTCAAGCTGACAGGTCCGCGCTGCGATGGCCAATCGGGCGTGATACCGCCTTGCTATCCTTCACTTCCTGCTGTCCCTGCGAGTTGGCATGGGGACGCTGCTGTTCGAGCTGGGGGACAGCGCTAATGCGGCAAGTGGCACAATGAAACTTTGATGCACAATGCGCTTTATTATTTGGTTCTCTGTTGTTTGAGAAGCGACAAAGCAGCGGTGGAGGATGGGTGTTTTCACGACATTAAAAGGAATCCATGAATAATCCTATTACGCCTGTGTTTCCTATTTGTACTTGACGCCTCGCTCGCGCTGTGAGCTTTTACTTTAAGAGTGTGTCAGCGCGCATCTTGTCACACTCTGCTGCTGGTATTGCATTAAAGTGTCTATGTCTGTCTAACAGGGTTTACACAATAGATAAGATTCAAAGTGGACTGATGCAACCCTGCTTATCCTCAGCCATTTGTTTATTCTGTTTGATGTGTGGTCACCGTTTGACTATATGTGATTGGTGTTAGTCTGGTGTTACATAAATGATAAGCTGAAACTACCTCAAGAGAACAGAATTATTAAAGTGTCTGAGCAGCTGCATACGCCTTAAGTAAAGCCATACATGTCCAAAATAAAGGTTAAAACCTCTTTGTGCACGTAGGCTTTAATGTGATTACAGGATCTTTCAAACAACGTAGATGCTTTCAGTTTTTGTTTGTAGACATTGAGGCAACTCTGGCGTCACCACAGTCAAAAATCTTCAAATCCTACACAGAAGTGCCTCCTAAACTCTAAAACAGTCTTCACAAATACATTGATAAATCTCCACATATAAAGTTGGTGGCCTTACTTTTTAATGTGTGCCAAGGCTGTGTTGTTGGGAAACAGCATGCTGGACAGTTTGGTTGCTATGCCAAGGATCTTAACTTGTGATTCCACATACTGGATCCTTTCCACGTCACCTTGAGCACCCAGGGCCTGAACCAGTTTGGTGATGGCATGAAACGAGGGCACTTGGTCCGACTGAAGCATAGATTTCAGTGTCTCAAGGCCTCCTGCGGAGGAGCAAAACAATTGAGTGTGTGTAGAAAATGACCATGTGTGTGTTTAGTGTACATGTCTGTTCTTTACCTTCGATCTGGCCTTTCTTGCAGAGTGTGATGATGTACATGTTGTTGGCGTTTTCACTCAGCTGGAAGTTTGGCAAATGGGACCTGGCACTGAGGGAGAGAGAAAATATTTCCTTGGTTATCACCTTTTAACAATGAGTCTTATTTGTGTCGGTCTGTTGAAAATAAACAAGATTTTACTCACAAGGACACAAGAATCTACAGAATAATGTCAAAAAAAAAAAAAATCAGTGCCGTAACCTTAAAACCACTGACGGCTGAAGTGAATAATGTTGATTATCTTGTTACAGAGCAACGTTCTGCTGGAAAACCTTGGATCTTGGTGTTGATGTGGACGTTACTTTGACCTCTATCACACGTCTAAATGTTGCTGCAGAACAAGCAGTAGGACAGTGTGCCTTCCAACTCTGCAAAAACTACTCAGGAATGGCTGAAGGAACACAACAAAGAGCCCAGGGCCTCCAAACTCTGCAGATGTCAATTCAATTAAGGGTAAGTAGGACATGGTGAAACAAGCCTGATCTCACAGAGGCTCCAACCCACAGGACACCCCCAGAGGTTCCATGTCTGTGCTTCAACAGGTCCCAGCTGTTTTGGCTACACAAGAGGGACCCTACACAATGTTTAGCAGGTGGTTTTAATATTGTGGCTGGTCGATGCACACCATCCATTGATTGCTTTCCATTTAATATATCTGGAGCTGCAAATCAAAGTGCAGAAATGTTTTACGATCATATTGAAATGACAGGGTTTTTAAAGCAATCTCATAGTGTAGCTTTATTCTCTGGGTATTTACATCACTAAATTTAGTCAAAAAGACATTCCAATAGTTATTTTTATGTGAATGTTAGTATTATTACTATTTCACTGTCAGATTATCTGCTCAACAAATGGACAATAACAAAAGCAAAGCCTTCGTCTTTATTCTGTTTTTGCACGTGTAGCATGTAAACTGCTGGAAGTCCATTTATAAGAGGTATTATTGTGTGCCATTTAATCCCACGTGGGTTGGTTCATCTCTATGAAAGTCCCCAAAAAAAGTCTCTATTTATATTTTGATATCTTCATGTTAGATTAACATATACATGATAGATTTTATCCATATCTGAGTGACGCTAAAAGAAAGTCCATTATTTCTAACTTTAACGCTAAAAGCAAATCTTTATCATCTGTGTGGCATCTTAAGCTTTGAGTTCAGCGCCATTATGAGGCATCACATTTAGACAGAGGGGATAAACATGAACTAGAAGATATAAGACAGACGAGACAACAGGAAAACAAATCTGACTGACAGCAAGTCTGAGCCTCCAGTAAAGCGCCTGCTGTGACCTGAAAATAATACGGACATCAAGCAGCTGATTGATGTCGCCTTATATGTGATGTTTCTTCCTGCTGAGCGTCCTCACGTGTGTTTTGTATGTCTGAGTGTGGTATTATGTGGGAGGGTGAGGCCGGACCGGGCGGACCGCTGCAGTATTGAGGCCTTCGGCAGCTTCTCCTCCTCATCACTTCCTCCGTCCCTCGCTCCGTCTGGCCGTCTATTTGCTTTCCTTTTCAGCCCTCCTCCTTTTCATTTCTTTGCCACTAAAACCTCAATCAAGCTTGCCTCCTGCCTTTTTTTTTTTTTATTTATTATTATAGCCCTGCAACCAGATTAATCCGTCCGCTCAATTGAGCATCAGGCTGGCAATCCTTATCACCGCGGCGACACCAGGCCATGCAGCATCCGGCAGCCGCTGTGACAGGGTCACGGCGAAGATTGGAGCAGTAACAGGGTCGCCGCCGGATTGCCGTGGAGACCGAACAGTGGGGGGTGTGGGGTCAGAATTATTCTTATCAGGTGGAAGAAAATCTCTCGCTCACCTTTTTTCCAGCACACACGCTCTCACTACCACTCTCACCTTCTCCTTCTAGGGGTGTTGCGCTTTAGCCAATGAATCCATCATCCTCCTCTTCCTCTCTCTCTCTCATCATCATCACTCTCTCCCAATCCCTTAATCTCACCATAAGCACCCCGCTGCTCAATTCTGTACAGATTACCCAAAAACAAACACACACCCACACGCACTGAGAATTAATGCCTATAGCGTCTTCATTATCCCCGTACGTGATTAAATCTAGCCCTCCTCTCCTCGTTCACTCCTCTTTTCCTATTTAGCTCTTTTTATCTCCATCCTTTCCTTCCCATTTCCATCTTTCCCCGACTCTCCTCTCAGCTCATTTCACTTCTCATTAAGAGTGCAGATAAACTAAGCTTTTATCCAGGCAGGGATGCCATAAACCAATTCAAAAAGAGACTGGAGATGGGTTATCACTCGTATTGCCTTGCGCTTGTTGAAACACGGGTCTCAAATTGATATGATTATTTCTCATAATATAAGAGAGTGAGCCATGTAGAGAGCTGAAAACAGGGGAGAGGCTGATAGTGTAATAGATGTTTTTACATGTTTTTTTTCCCCCCTTTTCTGTGCAAATTAGTAACTGCATCTCTTCTTTCATTGTATGCCATTATGTTATTATCTAAACTCTTTGCTTCTGTGTTTTCCTCTGCAGAAAGAAAGCGATACAAAGAAACTGACAAAAGGAGATAAAGAAAAAGGAGGAGATTACCTAAAAAGACAAACAGCAGAGCAGATCGGCTCTGTGCTAAGCTCAGATCTCTAATACCTCTGTCTGTCCATCCATTTGTCTCCAGGCACAAGCCCTGATACGGCCCCAGCAACACAACAACACACGATACATTACTAATTGGAAGCAGATTGATGTTTTTGCACAAAGTCACCTGCTTCCCAGAAAACCAAAATTAATCTGTACATCCGAGCGTGTGTGTATCTTGGGGCTTAGTAAGAACCATTGTTCATATCCAGCAGGGCTGAGTGTGTTCGCACACAATCAGTTTTTAATCCTATGTCTGCTGAGGAGCTGCAGTTGTTTCCTCTGACTGAGGAGACGGAAAATAGCACAACATTAACACCACACTGCATTTCAAATGTAAGGGTGAATGTTTCACTTAAACTAGCTGCTCTAAACCATCACCTCACTGTTTAGCTGCTGTTAATTATTTTTTGGGTGGAAAAAATGGCAAATTAGATATTATCTGATAAAAATTAACATTAGATGAGCAAACAGACTGAGAGAAAAGGCTATTGTTTTCCAAAAACCGACAGACCAGACAGTTTGGAAACCTCCTCCCACCGCACCTGACCAGTGTGTGTGTCTGAAAGTGACAATCCAACATTCACTCCCACTTTGCGCTGTGACTTCCAGCCGTGTGGAAGTCAAAAGTGAACTTCTTTCTCTTTCTAGCTGCCTTTTTTCCCCCTCATTTGTTACATAATTCATAAATAAATTCCTAAATCAACAATTTCCCTGAGGTTTGCACCAAAGGGATCAATAAAGTTCTATTCTATTCTATTCTATTCTAATTATTTCCTTAAACTTCCTATGTTAACAACAGCTCAAATCTACGAATGTGTTCCTGGACAGACTTTCTGAAAATGTGGCTGAACATTATCACATCTTCTTCCTCTCTCTGACATCCAGCTTCTCACTTCTGACACTTACCTGTCTACACCTGGTATCACAACCTGGGATAAGCAGTACTATTTGTTCTGTTTTGCATGTTTTTACAAAGATTATTGTTAGTTGTTACAGAAGACACCTACATGTCCTTGACTACCATGGCATCCTCATCGGATCCCCTGGCCAACAGGGCCCGCAGGACGCAGTCATAAGAACCGGGACGTAGTGACAGGCCCTGTTCATCAGCTTTCTTTACCAGCGCATAAGCTTCTGCAGAAAGAGAGCAAGAGAAGGAGAGAAACGGAAAGAATGAGTCAGAGATTGGACAGGATACCGAACAGCAGAAATTGAGATTATCCTCATATTATATTGGATTATTAGAGTAATCTGCAGCTACAGTGGTAAAATACAATGTTAAAATGTTTTATCTTCAATAGAAAATTGGTGCTACCTGAAGTATCCGAGGTAATTTAAAGCTGTTTAATGCTCCAACAAAAACAAGATGACATTTACAATAAAATAACAGTACTGTTTATGTTCACAAAGAATCATTTAAAGGGCCAATGTGTTATGTTAGGGGTTATGTTAGCAAAAATGGAAAAATAGGGTTCTGAATTACGTTTTCATGAAAGTATAATCACCTGGAACTTAAGTCAGCCATTTTTATAAATAAATGTGTTGCAACCTGGCTGTAGACCCCAACACTAACTGACTTTAGCATTAATAGTGAAGAATGAAATTCAGCAGATGAGCTGCTGTTAAATTTACTATTTTTTGGGGGCTCTCTGGCTTGACATGTGCTTTAGTGATGGTTGGAAATTCCAGCACTTAAAAAAAAAAGTATATGAATTGCATTATGCAAACTGTGAATACTCTATTTCCTTAACTGGAGAGAAACGCAGCAAAGCGTCATTGTGGTGCGCTCTGGCAGCGCTTCACCTATTGGAAGTTGTTTGCTAAACAATTTCTGCCCCCTTACAGTTAAACATTTCCTAGAAATGTGGTTTTAAGAGGCTAGGAATTAAAACTTTACACACCACTGATGGCTGAAGCATCTGAAATCAGCTTCGTCTGTGTTAAGTTCTGCTATGTGTCATGTGACAACAATACTGGGACCTCCTGCTGCTTACCCTCAACATTGCCCTTCTTACAGAGGGCAAACAGATTGGGGTCATAGTTGTCTCTGACGGGGGCTGCTGCTGCTGTTTTTTCTGCTGTTGGTGGTGGTGGTGGTGCTGCTGCTGCTGCTTCTGCTGCTGCTTCTGCTGCTAGCTTGACGAGCTGTGGGGTCTTAGCTGGATCGTACCAGGTCTGTAAATGACACATGCAGAAAACAGTCCTGAAACTCAGTCCTACATTTCCATCAAAACACAGCTACATGCTGTATTAAAGCCTGAAAACACTGGCAATGAGCTGGTGTGTGTATGTGTGTCCATGACACTGCAGTAATGCTGGGCAGGCAGGGCAGGGTCCCGTAATGCTCGCTCACCCATGTAGCAGTGAGGGGAGGGGGTTAAGCTGTATTGGCTGGGGGCAAATTAGGTCTGGCACCCCAGGGGCAAAAGAAA